TGGTAATTACCATTACCATACCATGTCAACCGAACTATTTGGCATGCCAAAATTAGGTATACCGAAAGTTTGGCACAATAATGGTAATAAATTTTATCATACCAAAAATTTGGTATGGTAATTGGTACATGAGTTTTGATACGGTAATCATACCAATACCACCCTTAGCTACAATTCCTTGGATATTGTTCGACTTCACTAAAAATTATTGGAATTTTCTAGTTAAAAAATATATGAAAAATTCAGAGTTTACGAAATTACAATAGAATGTTGATATTTTGAAAGAGCTAAATTGGAAGACAATTTTCATTCCGTAAAGGATAATTTTAGGAAGAGTACATTTAGGAAATTGTTATTAGCATTCTAAAAATTTCATTTTACACTCTTCATAAGTGTATTTTTCTTTCTAATTATAGAAAGTTTGAAGTGCCAAATGAGATTTTTGGAGTGCTAATAACAATTCCCTAAATTTATAGACAAAATTTTGTAAATTAAATGACATGAAAATTGATGATTAAATTATTACTTAAACGTTGATAAACATCTCATTCATATTAGTTACACATCATTTAGTTTACAAATATTGTTTACCAATTTAGTTTCCTTACCATTACCTTTCCGTAAAACGTTCAATTAGATTTAAAATTTTAATTTAAGAAATGTTAACTTTCTTAAAGTAAGACACCTTGTAGAGTCTCTGCCATTATATATATATATTTTTTTTTACATAATATTTTATAATATTTACACATAAATTAACATAAAAGTATATGGTGATAAAAAAATAAAGTGTGCTATCCACACATCTCATTTTACTTCTCACACATCCCTTAATAATTTTTGTTCATTGATCTTCTTCAATTCATCTGATCCAACGGTTAAAAATTAAAAAGATATATAAGAAATAAAATGGAATGTGTTGGATATCACATCTTTAAAAAATTCATTGAAAGTATTCATGGCATTTCTCTTTTTATTTATTTCAATTTGTTCGACAGCAGACCCATATTGGTCGGTCAGTAAGCATTGACTACTTCCAGAGAAGGAGTCAAAATATTTTCAGTGCAGACAAGGCTCTCATTGGCTGTCTGTCATTTTGTACAACTGACACGTTGAGACTCTGACGTAAGCTTGACGGCATCACATCACGCCGTTAACAATTGTCAAGCATTGGGAAGCGTCGCGTCACGTGTATGTGGTGTTTCGTTTTGTATTCCGAACACATTGAAAAATTTCTCATCCTTATAATTCTCGTAGAGTTTGAAAGGAAAAAGGCTGGTGAGATGTTGATGCAGTAACCAATTTCGCCATGGTTAATTGACGTTTGTCCATCTCACTCGCCCTATTAATTTAGACCCCACAAATGTTGTGACATTAATTTTGCAAATTGGTTTAAGGAATGTTTTATAACTTATGCAACACATTGATTTGAAACCTTTCGTTCTCTACCCAAAAATGATGCATAAAAGTTTAATGTGATGGTGTGAATAATTAATAAGTTTTGGTTAGTTTGGTTATGTCTGATATGTTTATATATCTGGGTGGATCCCAAAACATTCATGTCTTTGTCTCTCGGATTTGTGATTAGTGAGTTTACTAGTGTCATGGTCGATGTTTTGTTGCACTAGTAAGGATTGTGGACTGGACTTGTATTTTGGATTAAGGTTCGAAAAAAAGGAAAACTAATGAAAATGGGCTTGTAAACTTTGAGTTTTAATGATAAGGGCAAAATAAAGGGTAAAGTGAATAGTACCAAGATTGACTTTTTAGTGTAAAAATGTGGTTTTTCGTTAAAGTGAACAGTACCAGATGCTTTTCGTTAAAGTTCCCTTGAAAAAATGAGGTCCAATTGTCCATACTTAAGAAGTGAGTGTTGACGTGACATGATAAGTGTAGTCAAATTTTAGTTAATCGTATGCAATACTTAAAGCTCAATACATTATTATCCAAGGACCTCCACTATGATCTAATTTAGAAGAGATTCTTGAGTATGGCCACTTGTGTCACAAGGATTGTGGACATAACTCGTATATTGGACTAATGTCGAAAAAATGGCCGATTTGTTTCCTAACTTGAGACTTGAGTGTCAAAGACACATGATAAGTCTAGTTAGATTCCAATTAGTCTTATCGAATGATCAAATCACAATCCAATGCTATCCAAGTCGTTCGACCAAATAGGACCAAAATTATGAGAGATTCTTGAATACATCTATTCATGCTACGTCACTCAATCCGCTAAAGACACACACAAGAAGGAATCATATCTTACACAAGCTCATGTCTCGTTTGGCAGCTCGAACTGTACTAACTATTTCAGTCGGAAGGGCGACTTGCAGGTCGTCGGGTTTCAGATCTTGTCAAGGAAATCGATTAATTGGATTTACATCGTGGTGGGTCATTGCAACAGCAGAAATTGAGCCAATAAGCTTCATCTGCCAACCCTAATTATTTTCACATAATTGTATAGAAATTTTGGGGCTCAAAACCTTAATTTTGAAAGGAACTGTAACTTGACCAAAAATTTAGAGTAGAATAGAAAGAAAGAAAGAAGAAGAAATCTTGACGGAGACGACGATTGAACGACTGCAACAGGAATGAGTCTTGTGCACGATGCGAGAGAGGGACACGACGGGAGAGAGTGGGAGAGCACAACGTGGTTTCCTACCCGACTAATAATACAGAGGGTTTGGTTTGGATAATTTAGCAGGTGTATACCGTATAAGGATGCGGGCCCAGTTTATTTAATTAGGGTACTATTTAGTGCAAAACTACACCAAACACTTGAGTCTGTATTACTTATCTTATCTGATTCCTTATACGGCTTGCCAAACGAGGTCTATGTGTCTTGAGCGGATATGTGACTTGACACAGTTGACCCTACCTAAGAATTTCTCCTAATATATATAAATTTTTTTGTTGCCAAGTAAGGGAGAATCAGAGAGAAACATTGTGGCGAAGAAAAATATTATATGGGTACATATATAGGATACTTTGGTGTAACATGAAGAGCTGAATTAAAGATTAAAATTACTTTGGCAGCCTTGTCAAATATCATGGTACGGTAAAAATCTTGAAGCTGATTTCAAAGTACATTTTCATGTCCACGGTACAACCTTGAAGACTGAAGAGATGAGAAGAGAGTAATATGGACAAGGAGTACTACGCAGTACCATTTCTGATAATTTCAAAGGATAAGATTCATGCAATGGAACCAGTACTTGTTCTTGTATTTCTTGCTTTTAGACCTAGAGATCCTAAATTTGTAATCTCATGATTTTAGACGGTGAATTGCTTTGTTGTACGATGTGGTCGAAAAATACTCGTCTATCTTGTTTAGATATTATTACTAATTCACGTGCCAAACGGCATGGTTTATATCTTAAGAATTTATGATATAATGTTAATAATGAATTTATGTGTCAACAAAATTTTCACACCATCTATTAAACAGACGAGCTTGGTGTTTTGATTACATAGCAATGATCCTTTAAAGATAATAAAAAAAAATGAACAACTTTGTAGATTAGAAATGAGAAGGTAAAACGACAAGTGGTCCTCTACTACAGTGATGGAGAGAAGTATTGCTCTTACACCACGTCGTGTGTTCGAACCCCGTTGGCTCCCTAATCTAATAACTAATCTAACAAATGTTATCGTTTGATAAAAAAAGAAAAAGAAAAAAAAAGAAGGTTAAATGGAAAATTACAAAGGAGAAGGTATGTAGCATTCTTTAGCAGTTCATCTTAATCATACATGTACTGGATGAAAATTTTAAATGCTGACATAGAAATTGACGTTAAACAATGAGGTGACAGAAAATCTATAAAAAGTCTTACTTTAAAAGAGTCTCCTTAGCATTTTTCTATCTTTGTATTAACCTAGTGTAGTCTTCCTAACAGTTATGGACCCTCTAAATAGAAACAATTTTGTGCAGAGTTTCCAGGGTGTAATACCATCACAAATTCGGTTAATGATTGCATTCTTCACAAGTGGCAAAGTGAATGGTTTTAAATCATATATGTTATGCCTTTTCTACTTCCCACAAAATTGTTTAATTGGATGGTAATCATCTCTAAACATTAAAGAATCTTCCCTTCCCAAAATGATAATCTAACAAAGATTAACCCTCATGTGCTACATTATAGGCATGAACATTAATATGTCTCGTTGTCACTTCTATAAAATTGACAATAATCACTAATATTAGTTGTATACAAGGTAGAGGAGGGAGGGGCGACAGATTTTCGGGTGTAATGGTGCTCACCCCTTCAAAGGAGGGTAGGTGCCTCGCATCGTACGCGATTATTGTCGAAAAGTTAATCTCACCTAATCTTTCTCTATTTGAAAATAAAAAGGCCCAGCCATGTCGAATACTCTCATTCATCATTGATATTTTTTTTTACCCATCTCATTAGCCGCTAATATGTCTTTACTCACCTGATTATCACTATTAGGTCTTTTATACACCCTTATTTTATGCAACTAATGTTACTGACTATTGTCGGTTTTTATAGCAATTGTGGGTTGTTGACATTTCTGTGTCATGGTCCAACCTCACTGTGGACCAAGTAGATATGATCTGAAAATTTTGGGCATGTCATATACAATGTGTGGTCCTTTCCTTGTAGATAAAGGCATGTGTGGTCCCTTTTGGGAAAGGAAACCAACTGTTCATGCAACCGTCAGGCATTTTCCAGCCCCAATTGATCATCTCCTAAATCCACCTCCAAATAGAGACCTAAAACATTTCCACATAATCTGCTTTACAAAGCATCTAATTATTTATGTACTAAAAATCCAGAATCTCAAGTGAAAAAAAAAAAGAAAAGAAAAGAAGAAACGTGTACATGTACCAGTGCATGTGTAAGTGTATTCAAAACTCAAAAATACACTCACTTGAGTGAACTAAAAAAATGAAGCAAGTGCATGTGTTCTTACAAGTCAAAAGCATCACAGATTTAGAATAAAGTCAAAAATTTTAATTTAAAGCCTTGATCAGATCCAAAGCAAGACTTTTTCTGATTAATTTCATCATACACAAAAATGTGCAATAAGCACAAAAATCATACCACTCTTTCGACAATCCACTTAAGAAAAAATAATAATTAAAAAAATAAACTAACATGAAAAATGGCGTAAAATAATCAGAAGTCAAATTTTAATTGCTGAATTGATCAACGACATACAGAGCAAAAAATTGATCATTCAAACAATTAAAATTTGAAAAATGATAATTTTGACGGATTTTCCAATTCACATTACGATCATTCAACTAATAATGAAACTATTGGATCTAATGGGGCTCTTTTGCTTCATCAGAATTCTGAGCTGAGCTTTTTGGCACTCAAGCTTTGTGCCCCAATGCCTACTTTTTGATCCAATTGCTCTGACAACTCTTGGGAATTCAACAAACCCCTTGATCCCTCTCTTTATGTGAGGATTTTCTGGTTCTGGTGAGGCTCTTTTCTGAACCGCCATGGATGAAAATCCACCGCTGTTTTCACTGAAAGCTGCTTTTTCACCCAAAAGCACTTCCCTTGAAGTTGCAGTAGAAAAACTGGAAACAGAATCATTGTTCCGATCACCACAAAGAGCCCCAGACTTTCCACTGGAACTATCCAAACTAGCAACGTTAACAACCTCATTTTTATGTTTGATCTTGAAATGTGAGTTCTCGGCGGCACACAGCATTTGTTTACACCCCTCCAACTCTAACACCTTCTCTTCGAACAGAAGTCTCGCCTCGGCGAGCTTCATCTGAACTCTCTCCTCCCTCAGCACCTCCGCCATTCGAAGCATTTTCCTCTCCTCCTCGATCTCTTTCCTCATCTTCGTGATCTCTGACTTCCCGAAAGAAATTTCTCTAGCAAGCTCCTCGCAAACCCTCTCGATCGCTTCTCTTGCCCTCCTCTCCTCCCCCAACTCGTTGGCCAACCTCTTCTTCGAACTCTCCAACTTCTTGCGCGCCTTCCGCTCGTACTCGAGCTCGGCTTTCATTCCGATGATCTGGGCTCGCGTGTAATCCATCTCGGACTCCATTGCCGGCTTGAAGAAGGTGAGATCCCAGAAGGAAGCGGCGAGCTTGCGGGCGGAGATGGGGAGGTGCAGGCAATGGTGAACTTCTTGTTGCGGTTGCTTGTTGCTAAAGTTTTGGCATTGCTGCTGCTGGTTTTGTGGTTGTAGGGGTGGATTTTGATGGGGTTTTTGAGAATTATAAAAAGGGTTTTCGTACAGTTTCCAGGTAGGGAAAGCGGAGGTGGTGATTTCAATATTTCTGGTATTTCCTGGGCTAGGAGGAGGAGTACTATTGGTGCTCATCATCATGAACATCTTCTCCATATCTTCTTCTTTTGTGTGTAGTCTTTTTCCTTCTCAAATCCCTTTCTTTGCTGCTGCTTTCTTTTTACCTTTCTCTTTATTTTTCTTCTAATGGGGACTATCTCAACCAGGAAAGCAATTGGGGTAGGCCCATTTGATCTTTGGAGATGTGGATGGATTGTGTTGTGTCAAAGAAAAAAATTATACCAGATCACATGCACCTCCCACTCATCAATACCATGCTTTAGGTGACCTTAAATTGGAAAAAAAAATAAAAAAATAAACTATCATGTCCGTACTGCCACATAGTGTTGCTAGTTTACATATAATAATACAGTAAATGATATAATTGATATTTCATAAATTTATGACGAAATGAAAGTAAACAAATTCGACCAATGCTTGGTGGTTTCAAGTGGTAAGGAGCTTGTTCTCCTTAAGTAAGGTCTTGACTTCGAGTCTTGTGAATGGAGCAGCCATCATTGGGAGAGCTTGCCCTTCGAATGGGGTCCGACCCGGCTCGAAGGATTAGTCCTCGCCTACGTGCAGGGATACCTTGGATTCATCCAAAAAAATGTAAACGGATTCGTATATTACGACATAAATAGTTATTACGTGATAATATCATAACCGCACCGGATGAAACTTGTCCTTGAATTGGTCTCTCTCCTTATTGATGGATCACCTCTCTTTTGGACTTGGAGTGACTTAAATTAGTGGTAGAATGTAATTAATGAGGCCACCAACATGCCAGCCATAGGCTGTCCTAATGGTCAACATAATTGAATGAAGTCTCATAGCAATTTAGCATCACCAAATTAACCGAGTCTCTGTTTCAATCATACACAAAGTTACTTAGATGGGAATTCCACAGGACAAATCGATGGACATGAAACGAACACTCATCTCATCACTTAAATTCTTAATCGAGTTGTATATTCGACATGTATTTGATCGAATATCTTAGTAGATAGAGTGTTTGAGTTTTTACCCATGCATTTTGGATTCGAAACTCTCTCATTTCCTAAATTATTATAATACTTTCGAACTCTCCCCCTTACCTCCCCATAATAATAGTAAAACTAATAAAAAAACAGAGTTGTATATTCGAAGAGTAGAGAAAGTTAATGGAAAAGCTCATCTCTATTCATTCTACAAGCTCCACATGGTTGGTCTCCCTTTGTGTTGTTTGTTTTCTCAATCCATGGCCCCCTCCTTTAGTTCATAAAAAACTAACTAAATTATTTGATTACTCCCGACGTAACACTTAGATGACAAGATAGACTACTCATAAAAAAAGTGATGCTAGCAACACTTTTTTTTATCTTCCACACATTCTCTGTTAATTTATGTCATTTGATCATATTCAATTCATTCGATTTGACACTTACCAATTAAATAAGGTGTGTGGATAGTACCACCCATAAAAAATTGTATAATGCACCTTCGAAACTTGGTTATATCGGTCTCTCTGTTAGAACCTACTTCAACTTTACCCATATGCAAGAGATATTAACGAGGACACTAAGACAATCAGAGGTCGCACTTGGTGCGATGACAAGTGCCTTCGCCCATGAGCGGTAGGTCTCAGGTTCGAGACTTGGGAGCAGCCTCTCCATAAATGGGGGTAAGGCTAGCCGACATTCACCTCTCCCAGACTCTGCGTAAAGCGGGAGCTTTGTGCACTGGGTACGACTTCTCTCGATTTGCTCTTCAATCAACTCCAACATAAGTTTTATTTGTTGTATGCTACAATTGGACATCTCTCTCTCTTCATGTAACTAAATTATTGAATTGCGATATATAAGTTTTTCCGTCTTAACCCAAATTTGCAAAAAGATAATAGGGAGTTTTGAAAGCATATTTTTCAGGTGTTTCTTTGCATACTAAGACTTTCCATTAAATATCATGACCATGAAATGGCAATGAATAGACATGTGCTTGCACATGCACTTAGAAAATATACTATAAAAAAGTTAGGATTTAGAGAACCATCTCTCAATTATTTATAGGTGGTAGAAAAATACCCATGTTCTATTTGTTTTCCTTAAAGCAATGAAATCTAAGGAGAAACCCACATGCTCTATTTTAGGACTATCACATTCACATGCCTTATATTCTTAAATTTTTTTTTTTTTTAACAAACGATATTATTTATACTAAGGAGAAGGGGGTGGGCTTAAGCTCACAATAAGCTATTTAATAATGTGATTCAAATTCACCTTTGGTAAGAATCGAACCTAAGATCTCTCACTTAAAAGTGAAGAGAAATACCACTAGACCGTAGTACTAAGTGGTTCCTAAATTCAAATTATTACTCAATAATTTGGTCTTTTAGTGCACATACTTATTGGATCCTAGAAATATTGGGTAACATTCCTTGTTTTTTAGGAAGGGAAAAAAAAAACCTCCTAATACGAATCTAGTTATAAATAAGTCGAAGTTTGGCAGGAGCTATTACTCGAAGTCCAAAATAGTCATGATGCACTTTTGTTGTTCTAATTTCTCATTCGTAGAACAATAGCGGACGAGTGGACGACGATGTTTTTGAAGAGCAAATATTGAGACATGGAAGCCCTAATTGTGCAAGCATTCCGTTTGGGAAGTCCGAGGGATTAGCTAGCCCAAGTGGTGCCCTTTCATCGTAACGAAACAAGACGTATGTTTGGACAACCAATCAATGGGAAGGGGGAAATTGGGCTTGTAGTTAACCCTTATTGGGCTTGAGGAGAACAGTAACTCCTACAGAGCTGGAGGCCCAATGACTAGATGCGACTGAACCCACTATATACGAAGACGATCACCTACCGACTCATAAAAATTGACTTGCTAATTGCTAAGCAGGTCGACGCATCTATCAAAAATTGATGACCAAACCAACAAGATTCTTTCTTGTTCGTTTGATTTGGTCCTTGTTCTTAATTCCATCTAAATACTTGGAATTTCCGAAAAGATAATACTAAATTGGCACTTTATGAAATGGTCAAGATAAGTGTGCTGCTACGGTGCATTGGACATGTCTACTTTTGCGTATAATACAAAGCGGCAACTTCTCCGATTTGACTGCACAACACGGAAATGCAATTACGAATTGATTATTATTATTATTATTATTATTTTATAAATCCAAAAGTCAAACTAGGCACCACGGGCAAACATGAACGCCTTCACGAGGACGGATTGTTTGGTAGATAAGAGTTTTTCTCTTCAATCTTAGTGTGTCTCGGGTTTAAACCTTACGACTTCAACTGATCTAACGTAGAGTAATAATATCGCTTTGTAATAAATTAGATGAAACATGCCATCTAACAGGTTTCTAAGAGCTATTTAGTACTAGGATCTAATAGTATTTCTTTTCACTTGTAAGTGAGAGGTCTCAAGTTCAATTCTCGCCCAAGGAGAATTTGAACCACATTATTGCTAACCCATTATGAGACTAAACCCGACTTTCTCCTCTTAGTGTAGATAATATCATTTGTTTAATAAAAAAAGGAAAGAAAAAAAAGAGGTTTCTATGAAAGTTATCACTTCTCAAATTCTAAGTAGACTGATGCAAATATGTCATCCCAACCTTACTGCGAAACAAAAAAGGGTTTCGGGGGTTTTGGGAAAGGGAGAGAATCACACTTCTAGCAATGTAGCGTGTAGACACAGCCAATGGTTAAATTTTTTTCGATATGAAACAGAAAAAGGTATAGAAATGGAGGTGAAGTCTAAACGTAACCTCATATTGGACAAACTCTTCATTTTAAGTTAAAATCGATAGATATCGTTGCTATTTCTAATACATCTATTAAATATCGAAGAACCTCTTATATTTCGTCCAAACCAATGTTTAACAATCCCTAACACTTTGTTTGGATGAAGAAATTTAAAATTACTAAGGAATTTTGAAACGACGGAAATTGAAATGACAAAATTTTATTTTCTAGAATCTATGAATTTCCTTGTTTGGTTAATCTTAAATAACAATGAAATTGAATACGAAATTTGTTATATTTAAACTCTCAATCATAGAAATTGAAAAATGACACTTATTTTACATGGAATTCAAACTTGGAACTTGGAGGTCCTAAATTCCTAGTTTTTTTTTTTTCAAGCGGAAATTTTAAATCTCTATGTTTATGAATCAAAACAAGAAAATTGATGCATTTAAATTTATAAATTCTGACTTTTATCCAAATTCTAAGTTTATTTTTCTTATCCAAACATAATGTAAAGTTCTATTTTAAATGTCCATCATTTCCACCGAAAGCAATCGATATCAATATCGATATTCAATACATCCGTCGATATTTCCGCAAATTGCACACCGATATTTCACCGGTACCACTTACGTTACACAAATTACGTTTTTCATCCACGAACTTGTATCAATTTTGCACTTCACTAGCAGAACATTTGTATATCATACATGAACTTAAAAAACAGAAATTTAAGCGTCGTAGCTAAGTTATTCACTAACTATAACCTAATCACATCATTCTTTATATAAAGACAGAAAGGGGATGCCTACAGTCGATACACAAGAATACGAACACAAACAACCCCACACAACAATCCCAAATTGCAAATGATGAGGATGTATAATCTTGATCACTTTGTGTAAGTTTAGCGACGTGCTAGAGATTGTTTTACGTAATTCTAATCCGCTTAAAGAAATCACAGTTTAGAATTAATCACCACTTCTATCTCACTACTTGCAGTTTACCATCTCTACTCTCCTGCATTAAGCTTAAGAGTTAGATTGATCATGTTTCTTCTGTTCTCTATATCCCTTCTCTACCACAAGAAAGCTACCACACATTGCAGAAGTAGCTCCACCACGAACCAAATTTATGCAGAATCAAAGGGCACCTTAAAAGTAGAATTCGATAAACAATATGATGGAATCACGCACCCTTTATGCAAAAATTCATGCCAGACATTATCTTTTGGTAGTTACACATATTCTTCGATTCACAGAAAAAATGACGAGGGTGTGACATTATCCTACTAACTACTAACTTCAATTGTAAGGAAAAACAGACAGTCAACAACATGAAACACAAACTATATTCCACTGTAATGAACGATATTCTACCTCGGCCTTCCCAATTGGATCACGGAGAACCATCTTCATTCCTCTCTACAATAAAATCACAATTCGAACTCATCCTCAAGCTTCAGCTGCTCAGCTGCAGCCTCTTCCTCCTCGTCATCGATCACAAA